CCTTGTGTTAGGTTCCTGATGCATTTATAGTTATAGTTGTATATGTGTGTGTGTGTGCATATATACATATGTATTTTTAAATTTCCCATTTCTAGGTGATTCCATTCAGAGATGGCTAAAGTGATGATGGCAAACCCAGTGCATGGTTTGCACTGAATATTTTGCAAGTTTGCAAAAGTTCCTCTCTGATCTGACAGTGCCTTTTTTTTTTTTTTTTTACAAATATTTTATGCTTTCTATTTCTGACTGTGGCTTGATGGCTTGATACCATTAAGCTTAGTAGAAAAGTGTGGTTTTGCTTTATTTATCATAAAAATATCCCCCGCCCCCGCCAGGACCAATGTAAAAAGGGGTGTCTCCCATTAATGATTTGCTAGGATACTCTAGATTTTTTGATGATATTTGTAAAACAGAAACGTGTAAATAAAACATTTCTTGTAAAGTTTTTCAAAGACTTGAGCTTTCCATAGCAAAAGTTCACTTAATTTAGAAAATATGCTTATTCATATTTAAACAGACATTTAAGAGACATTTAAATACAGTTGGAAATTGTAAAATTTTTGGCAGGTGGAGCAATCAAGCAGAAATATGGTTTGGAATTTAAAGAGAAAGTGGGAGATTTTAATTTATTTTTTTTTTATTTCCAGTCATTAATTTAAAATTACCTCTGGGAAACTATTCCTGCTAACTTTTGCTTAAAGTTTGAGTTGAGAAACATTCTGCAGTCCATTTTAAATACCTTGGTTCTAAAATGTACTAAGCTTTTTATGTAAAACTAACCTTACGAACAATTTATGGTTGGTCTTAGTAAACTGAATGGGGGAGGTGTATTGAGAAAACATCTCTTTCTGATTTCAGTGAGGTCTACTGTTGTAGATCCTGAACATAGGTTTATTTGGGTTTTGTTTGCTTGCTGAGTATGTATGCACTGTGATATCTCAATTGCTAGTTTGTAAATAGTTCATAAATAGTAAATAGTAAGCCTTGTTTGCAAAAACTTCATTGTTTAGTATATGCTTATAAGACTGGCAGAATCTAGATGGCATGAAGAGTCAGATTTAAGTTGACATAATGGATTAAAATTTGGGACAAAATCAGCCTAATCATACCATAAATCGGAGCAAAGAACAATTATTTTGGTACATAGTGAGGCATAGTGAGAATGGTAATTAATAAAAAAAAACAATACTGAGTTTGGCTATGATACTGACATTGTCAGCTGGCATTTGTTTTGGGAGGTGAAAAGGGTCTGTCAGGATTGTACTGTTTGTGAGTCTTTTAACTTTGAAAGTATGTGTTCCCAAAAAGAATCGTCTTGACTTTGAACTTCCATAGACATCTACAAGGGGATAAAACGGAAATCTACCCAATGTAATGCTGGGTTCCGTCAACAAGGGCATCACCAGCAGAGGTGAAGATGTAGTATCGCACTCTGCTCCGCACTTGTCGGGTGACACCTGGAATATTGTGTTCCAGAATTCCAGTGGCTGGAGAGGGTCTGGAGAAGGGCTACAAAGATGATCCAAGGACTAGGAGGCCTTCCCTATGAGAACAAGCAGAGAGAAGCGGGTTTGTTCAGCCTGGAGAAAAGAAGGCTTAGGGGATACCTTATCACCATGTTCCAGTATTTAAAGGGTGGCTACAAAGAAGGTGAAAGTTCACATCGGTGCCATGCAACTGAAATTCAGTCCGTATGTCTTAAATTAACAAAGGCTGTATAGTCAGCCTGTGCATTTAAATATATATAAATATGTATTTCTTTAATAAAGTGTTTCTCCCATGGACTTTTACTATGCATCAGTGCAAATCAGCAAGCCAGAAGAGTTCTGGTTCTGAGTTCTCACGAACATCTGAGATTAATTCAATTAATTTGGCGTCACATCTAGTTGGCGACTGGTCCCTAGCAGTGTCCCTCAGGGCTTGGTGTTAGGGCCAGTGTTGCTTAGTCTTAATTGATGATCTGGGTGAGGGGATCAAGTGCACCCTCAGTAAGTTTGCAGACAACATGAAGTTGGGTGGGAGTGTTGGTCTGGTGGAGGATGGGAAGGCTTTGCAGAGGGATCTGGACAGGCTGGATCAATGGGCTGTGGCCAGTGGTATGAGGTTCACCAAGGCGAAGTACCAGGTACTGCACATGCACCGCATCAACCCCATGCAATGCTACAGGCTTGGGGAGGAGTGGCTGGATGGTTTGTCTGTAGAAGACTGGAAAAATAAAATGTTTTTAGCATCTGTGCGTATCTACAGTTAACCATGTTTTTTGTTGTGTAAATAATACTTAAGTTTCTAGGCTTCATAGGGCTATAGAAAATTAGAAGATAAATCATTAAGTCATTTGCTACCCCTTCACATTTCACTGACTTATTTCTCTTGCTGGCTTTGGCTATCCCTTTCTCATGGCAGCAGGCTGCCTGACTTCTGTTAAACACTTTTCAGGCTTTTATACAAATTTATTTCAGTCATCACTCATTAACTTTCAAACTGACTGGGACAGAAAGCCTTAAAGAAAATGTGTATAGTAAGAAAGTGTATAAATCTAAAATGTGTTAATACTGTATCACTTGCTGAAAGATCTGTCCACTACTTAGACTTCTTGGCCATTTGCCTCACTGTAACTTCTGCAAAGTTGCAAATCTTGGCTACTTCAGTGTTTTGTGTAAATGATGGTGTATGTGACTATTTTGTACATCTGTTAAATTCTTTCTGAGTAAACTGCTTTTTGTTTTATGAGTGATTGGCTGTTTTTCTTTGGATATGTTGTGTTTTATAAAATCCCATCTTGAAGTATTAATGGTTCTTCAGTTTCTAAGACCTAGTGGTCACTTGAAAATGGGGTTAATTTTGCAGTTAAACTGTGGTTCTTGCATTGCTATTGGTAATTGCTTCATATGTATACACTTACAAGTGAACTTTCTCTGCAGCAGCAAAGACCAGAATATTTATTTGAAAACATGGGAATGGATTAATATAAAGCAAAATAGTCAATATCTTTAGTATGAAAGAACAGGTCTCTCACCTTGTAAAAGGTTTTAATTACATCTAAAAAGGCTGCAGTGTAATCTTCCAATAGGAAAGTCTATGTAAATTATTTGTCAGTGGTAGTCTGCCAGAAGAAACCTATGGGACATGGCAAATCAGACCGTTGCAGTTAATTAGTGTTGTGTGTGCATCACAAATGCAGAGAGGCCTAAAAGCCACCAGCACTACTGTGTGATGATTCTTCAAAATAACGCCTTCGAGAAATAATTCCCGGAGCCTGGCTCTACAGTGTAATTTGACTGTGGGGTCTGGAGAATGAATTTTTTACAAGTGTCTTATGAAAGCTTGCAGCAGGATAAAAAGTGGTGGATTTTCTTAAAAGTAGATTAGTTAAGAATATTTTATTTGGGAATGCAGAAAGACAACATCAATCACAAGTTGTGATAGCAGGTAGAAAAATACATTTCTTTGTTACTTTTCCTTCTGTCAGTTTATTCATACTGTTCCACCTGTGCAGGACTCAAATTATGGACAGCTTTTTAACAGGCGCTGTGCTAACAGTAAAATCTAGTGCCTTTCCAATAATGGCGAAGAGTGTTAATTCTGAGACTTACATAGGGTCAGACCTAATTAGATTTGTCTCCAGGTTTTCTGGAAATCTATATGGGAGGAAAATAATTCCATAGTTTTGATTTGCTTTGTAGATAAAGGAGCTTGAGAAATTGAATTATCCTTGGTATTGTTGAAATGAAATTATTTTGAAGCATGTTTGTGAGTTATCTTCAGCATATAGGAATTGTGTATTTATAAAACAAGTACAAATCATCACTGTTTTCTTTGCCTAATAGTGTATCTGAAGCAGTAAAAATGTTGCACTGCTTAAAAATACAAAGAAATATTATCAAGCTAAAGAAGGTACATAGAAAAGGAATTGCAGCTTCTATACAAGTTCTTATTTTGCTGTATTAAAAATAATAATGAACAATACTGTGCAGTTTATTAATCAGAGATGGGTGAATTGTAAGTTCTGCCAATTTTAATAACTTTATTTGAAATACTTGTTGTAAGCATGTGGAAGGGAAGAATTGCATGAATCACATCATTATGAAAGAAAGTATTTTGTGCAGATACTTGTGTTTCCTCAAAATGTGAAGTTTCTCTGTATCAGCCTCCCAGGAAGGGAAAAAGCTACGAGAAAAAGCCTGGAGAATGTTGTTAGGGTTTTTTTCCCTGTGAAGGGTGGGTTGCTTGCACATTTTTCCAGGATCTGCTAATTTAAAACGCAAATTAAAATACTCTTTTTGCTTTACAGTAGCATGAGATCTGGCAGTCAGTCCGCTGTGTGCTACTTCACTGCTTGAACCTTCAAGCTTCCTCTTTGGCAGTAGTAAAATCTGTGGGTGAGATGTAGATCCAGATTCTTCAAACTAGCTCCCCTTTCTAGATAGTGAATGTTCCGTATCAGAGGGCAACCTGCAGGTTTTTAGTTTTTAACACGGAAAATACTTGGTTTGCAAACGTGTGGAAAGGCTGTGGAAAACATGAGCAGAACAGTAGTCGGGGGTGGGAGATGATGTGGCCTGACCGCTTTGCAAAGCCAATGAGTGAACTTCCAATGCTTATTTTTGACCCCAAAACTGCATCAAGTTTCTGATCCCTCACCAGCAATGGTGTGGAAGATATCCAGATGAGGAAAAACAGTTGTTAGAAAACTTACCAACACTTGTTCAGGGAAACATTCTCAAAGAGAGGGATAAACAGAGGTGGATAACTATGTTTGAAATATATGTCATTAATAATCTAAATCAATTGTAGAACAGGCAAGCTTTTGTTAAATTACTGGACACATAGCATTTCAAATGGACAGCTAGATGGTAAAAACTTTCTCAGTATTTTAATCTTTAATTTTTATCCTGCAGGTATCATTGCACTTGTGTGACTAGTACAGTTCTTTCAAAACAATAACATAGCAATTTAAATATTATGCAGAAATATATTTAACTCTTTTTTTTTTGCTACAGGGCATATTATACAAGAAAGAAGATTTGTCGAGCCAATAAATCGTCAAGCATATCAGTATGAAACGGGTGACTTTCCAACAGAATGGGAAGGTAAATTCTGAATATTTTGGGTTTGTTTTGAGATAATTTTGCCATTGAATGTAGCTTCAGTGTTTTTAATGGAAAGCCTGACTATGTGAATAGGTTGTCTGTTATCTTTCATTTTGTGTAGTGGAGGCTTTTGTTTAACTGCATAATTATTAAGAATTAGCATAATTATTAAAAGTAGCCCCTTTACAAATAGGAAAAAATTATGTTTAGGAAATTGGTACTTAATAAAAATGTAAATAAAGCCTCTATGATCATGGATTTCTCCTATTAAATGTGAAAATATTTCTGCCTGAGGGGGATCTGATAGAATAGCCAAAACTAAATGTGAAAAACTTCCTACTTATGCCTTCACTGCAGTGAAGGTCAGTTGAATTTGTAGGTCAGTTGAATTATTAGTGGCATAGTGATGGTAGCATTTGGTTTCCTGTACTCCTTACACGATCTTGTAGAGAGTTGAAGAACCTGTTAATAATGAACCATTTTTTCCCCTGTTGCTAGTGGTGAAAATCATGTCAGAAAACATGGGGCATATAAAGAAGTTTAGAGACATAAGGGAAGTTCTAAGGGTTAGCTGAGCAGCCCTAGGAGAAGGAGAGAGAGCAGAAAGGGAGCATCTATTGCCCTTTGAGGCTGCAGGAACTTGAGCCAAATGTGGGGTTAAACGTGGCTTAAAACCCAGCACTCTATAGCTTAAGCAGGAATCCCTGAAATAGTACATGGTTTGCCCATTATTCGGCATGCTTTTTGGGGGAGAATAATATCTAGAGAACTCAAAGAAGTTGGTAGGTTTTAAGCAAGCAAACTTAAATTTTACTCAGCATGTAGTTAAACTGTAGAATAACTTGTCATTGAATATTCTGCTTGCTGGAAGTTTGCATGAGTTCAAAAAGTGATTAAAAGAATTTATGGAAGAGAAATCCTTCATGTACACAGATGGTACTACAGTTCACTACAGTGAACTACAGTTAACTGAAGCAGGCTACAGTGTATTTCGAGGAAATATCACAATGTACTTGTTTTACCTCATTCTTTTTACTTCGAGTGCACTGTCTGCCCCTGAGGGACATGATACTGAGCTAACAGAAAACTCGTGGTTTAAACCCAGTCAGGTAACTCGTTCACTCACTTCCCCCCCCTTTTCTTGCCCTCCCCCTGCTCTCGGAGGGACGGAGAGGAGAATCGAAAAGAATGCAACTCCCACGGGTTGAGATAAGAACAGTTTAGTAACTAAGGTATAACACAGATCACTACTGCTACCACCAATAATAATAATGATAAAGGAAATAATAAGGGAAGAGAATACAACACCTCAGCACCAGCTGACGGATAACTCGCCCCCCAAGCCCGACCAAGCTCCGACCGATACCTCCTCCAACCCCGCAGTCTCCCAGTCCTTCCGGCTAACTCCCAGTTACATCCTGGGCATGACGTGCTGTGGTATGGAATACCTCTTTGGTCAGTTTGGGTCAGGTGTCCTGTCTCTGCTTCCTCCTGGCTCCCCCTCCTCCCTGGCAGAGCATGAGGCTCACAAAGTCCTTGGCCAAACCAAAATATCCTTGTTATCAGCTCTGTTCCCGAGCTGAAAGTCAAAACACTGCACTGCACCAGCTACCAAGAAGGGGAAAAATGACTGCTACTGCTGAACCCAGGACAGGTCTCATTATATACCTTCACGGAGTCAATACAGAAATATCAAATGTTCCAATCTTTCATTTTTATATTGTCGTTACACTGATTGTTGTGATGTTTTTCTTTTTTACCCGCTAAAGCTTATATTAATAACTAAAAGCTTCTAAAATACATTTCAACCCTATTACCAGCATTTGCCAACTGTGATGAAACCACAGTATCAACAAATAACTGCTGCAGTACCTGCAGTTGGCTGGCAAGTCTTAATCTGGTTCATCCTGGTTCTTTATTAGTCTGAGATAGCCATCTTCTGAAGAAGAGTTAGCAGCCTCCTCTACTTGTCCATACTAAATCACCTGGTGCTTGAATGGGTATCTACCTAATGCAACTTTCTGAAGGTCTACTTCCTCCACCAGAATTTCTCCAGCCACGGCTAGTCATCTTAAGTCCGCATGACTGTCATGCAGTCACTCTGTATCACAAACACTGAGCATATACAAAGCCCTCAGGTAAACTTTGCTCTGCTGTGTGAATGAATTCTCATCTAAGACCTGCTGCTGCCTTTTAAGAGCTGAAAAATTGAATGCAATAGTGTCTGCCTGCATATGGCTTCAATTAACAGCACACAACATGGGCAGTCACATTCTGTAAGATGCGTGTGAGCTAATCAGTTTCACAAAGGGTCTTAATCAACTTGCTCTATGAATCTGCTCCTCAGGACTGCTGGAATTGATGTAGCACCAGCAAGCTTGCATTATATCCCACTCCGGATACCTTATCACATATCCATGTGACTTGACAGCTTGGTGCATGGGAGGATACAGTGGTTCAGAGGGATGCTTTTGCCAAGCACCAGTCAATGGTCGGGTACCCTGCAGTATGGACTTGCCAAAGACATGCAGCTGCACTTTTGCAAGTCAAGGCATCTTATCAAGGGCTGTTTTAAAGAGGACAAAGACAATTGGGCAGTCCAGTCCTGATGAGCTGCATTTACACTTTCAATGCTTAATGTCCTCAACTTTGTAAATGCTGGTTTTTGTTTGGGGTTTTGTCAGCACCAAATAGAAACAGTTCACAGAGAAAACAAAAATTTACAGTATCAGATAGGTAACAGTCTTATCCTGTTAAGTACTAAATTTGTCTAGAAGCAGAAAGAAGATATACATGCATCTTTTCCCCCATGTATCTTCCCTAAATGTGTGTGTGGTTCATGTTTCTGACAGATCAGGTACGGCAATTCCAAGAAAACATGGCCAGCCTGTATATTTTTGTCCAATACCAATTTAAATGTTACGAATAGTTTTGTGGAAATAAAACAATCTTTAAAAGCCAAAGTGGTACTTCTGCTGTAGATGTAAAGGCTGTTCAATAACTATTGTGCCTTTGCTACATTTTGGGATGTGAATCATGGATGCAGGATGCTCTGAAGTTCACTTCATCACTACTATCTGCCTTCTTTAAAATGAAAAATTCTCAATGAGTAAGAAATGGGAAAGAATGGGAAGAGTAGAGGGTTTAAATAATACTGTAGAAGTCAGTTATCTGAGTGGGAACCGTTTATGGTTTTTAGACGTGCTTTGCTGAAAAGGCTCATTGCAATTCTGTCTCTGTTTTTTCCTCTTTGAGATCTTGAAGTTTCCCAGGCACACAAGACCTGTCCTCGCTCTGTATCTTCTGTCCAGACTCTTGAAAATTTCCCAATGCATTCTTTCTGTGGGTGTTCACTTTATAGTTTGTGCTATCATGGATGCTAATCATTCCAGAAAATAGTCTGGAGACTTTGCAGAAGGATTTCTAAAATACCTGTTGTTTTCTCTGAACGGTAAAAGATGAACCCAAAGTTAGCAAGCTGTATAATATTTATTTCTGTTTTCTCTTTGCTCTTGAAAATTTTGTGCATTTTTAGTATTCTAAATCCCTTCTGCTGGGCACATGCTTACATCTCCAGGGGCCTTCTCTCCAAATCCTCTGTATGCACTTTGACATCTGTGGCCTCTGCTTCAGTTTTGGCTGGTTCGGCAATAACAGCTCTTTTCCTAGCCTTCTCAGGCTTTTCACTTTAACGACTGTGCTAAACTTTCTGATGCCTGTTTTCCTCTCCTTTTTCTAGTGATCTGTGGAGAGCTGCTTTCCCCTGTGCTCTTTGTTCTGCCAGGACTCAGTTTTTTAGCTTGTAGGTAATCTTTAATTGCCACCTGATTTAAAACCAGTCGTCTCACCCCCCTTCCCTCATCCTTGTTTACCTCCATGGCATTTTGTGACTAGAAAAGAAACCTGTTGTAACCAAAATGAACAAAAGTACAGTCCCTGGAAATACTTAAGGGCATGAGTTGTCTGAGGAGAAGCTGCACAAAACCAGGGTCAAGGGATTGTTTAAGGACTGAGAGCAGGCTGTAGTGAAATTAGTCTTCAGTGTAATCTCATTCTATATCTAAGACTTTCAGCCTCGTCAGCTGGTAAACTAAAGGGCTGATTTTGTACTGTGTTTATCAAGTCATAAACATGTAATAAGGTAACGGAAACCAAGTAGAAAGCTGTAAAGCAAGTAGATAAACCAGTCATCCAGATTACAGACTAAATCTGTGCAAGCTGTTTCTCTAACTCCAGAGAGGATTTGTGTATTAGTCTTGAGAGTTTAACAATTACAGGGCCAAGGGCTCACTCCTGAAGGGCTCACCTTGAATGTTTCTTCTGAATGTTTCTGTCTTAGTTTTAAGTGAGCTGCAGGATTAAATTTCCTAAATTCTCAGACCTGTGAATTTTACAAAAGTACTGAATGTCCATTAAGGCTTTCAAAAACTGAAATATGCTCAATGTGAAAAGAACAGAATCATAATCCCTGTGTTATCCATATGTCATGGTTTAAGCCCAGCCAGTAACTCAGAACTACATAGCTGCTCGCTCACTCCTGCCCTTCCTCCCCCTCCCCTGGAGGGATGGGGAGGAGAATCGAAAGAGTGTAACTCCCACGGGTTGAGATAAGAACAGTCCAGTAGCTAAGGTATAACACAAATCACTACTGCTACCACCAATGATAATAATGATAAGGGAAATAACAAGGGAAGAGAATACAACCACTCGCCACCCACTGACCAATACCCATCCTGAGCCGAGCAGTGATCTAGCCCTTGTGGGTAACTGCCCCCATTTTATATACTGGGCATGACATGCTGGGATATGGAATACCCCTTTAGTTTGGATCAGGTGTCCTGTCTCTGCTTCCTTCCGACTTCCCCTCCTCCCTGGCAGAGCATAAGACTCAGAAAGTCCTTGGTCAGAATAAATATTATTGAGCAACAACTAAAAACATCGCTGTTATCAGTGCTGTTCCCAAGCTGAAAGTCAAAAACACAGCTCTGCACCAGCTGCTA